GGAGATTGGATTTATATCCCGCCCTTCACTTGGAGTCTCAGAGCGGCTTACAAACTCCTCTCCCTTCCCCTCCCCACAACAGACACCCTGTGAGGTGGGTGGGGCTGAGAGAGCTCTGACACAAACTGCTCTTTTTCAAGGACAGCTGTGCCAGAGCTTGTGACTGACGCAAGGTCACATCAGCAGGTGCAAGTGGAGGAGTGGGGAATCAAACCCGGTTCTCCCAGATTAGAGTCCGCACACTTAACCACTACACCAAACTGGGGGAGAAGGCAGAATCCCCTTTTCCAGAAGCACCACAGTCACAATCTAAATTGGGTATGACACACACACAAGAGCTGAGGAGAACCTATAAGTCACACGTGACCGTTAACACTGACAACTGAGTGGAGACTCCAGATTCAGCCCATGTACATAATGAGTTAAGAGACCTTGGTCAGGCCAGGAAAACAGTCCTGCGGGTAAGGCTGAAGTCTCTCCTCTCCAGTGGCTCTGATCCAAATCAGGCTGCAACATGGCACTTCCAGTACATGGGAACATCATTGAAGCCAAACACAATGTATCGTGTCGTTTGGTCCAAAGGCTCACTCTACACGAAGTCATCTAGCTCCACCCTCCCAAGCAGCAGTGCTCCTTTGGTCATTCACCCAGCCTTAAAACAGGTACCTCTCTCACCTGGAACCTCCATCCCCTCTGGGAATAGCCGCTGCTGAACACAGGAGCTGATGTCTGCAAATATATCATCTTCCTCTCTGTCTGCATCGAACTGGGGAGGGGAAGCAGGAGAGAAGAGGCTGTTATCTCTCTTAATCTCGGGCAATTGGAAAAGGAGAATGGACCTGCAGGATTTATTTTAAAAGCCCTCTGTTAAGTATGCAACTCAGCAACGAAGTAAGCAACAAGTGATCTCAGCTTTATTGAGAACGAGAACTTCCAAAAGATCACACAGCATCAGACGACACAACAACAGCAACAGTGAAGCACAGTTCCTTTTAAACTCTCCCGGGCTGGGGTAGCCACGCCCTGTCATAGTTAACATCCAATCATTATTCAGAGATAACATCCAATCAACACAGTTCCCTCTAGCACAGTTCTCTTACATTTGATTACCACAATGCTTCAGCCAATGGTATTGTTGCAGATTAGAATCCTGGCTGAGGTTTCGAGCTTAACATGTATTTATATACTGAGGTCCCTGCCACACGGCAGGAAAAAAACTGGGCAAAGTGCGGCTTTTACAAACCGCACCAAAATAGAGACGCCGCAGCGGGATCCCACGAATCCCTTGAGCCGCGGCGCCGTTGCTCCCCGGCACAATCAGATGCCGGGGAGGAAGCGACAGTCGGGAGGGGGAGGCTGCCGAACTGCGCATGTCTGAGCATGCGCAGTTCGGCCAGGAGCCGGGGATGCGCCGGCGGAAGGATGCGCCGGCGATCCCACGACCGGCATTGATGCGCCCTTTCCCGACGAACCACCTAGGTAGGTGGTTTCTTTTTGATGCGGGGTTTTGGGTGGAAGGGCCGGATCGGGAACGGGCGCACCACGCTTCCCAGGTGTTGCTGTGGGATCGCGCCCGTTTGCTGCGCCCCCGATACGTCCCTCTCCCGGCCCAAAACCTCTCGTGTGACCGGGGCCGAAGACACAACAGCCTCCATCCCACGAGACACACCCTGCAAGATCAAACCAAAGGTCTGAGTATTCTAGAGTTCTGTCTCCAACAGCAGAAGTTTGGGAGTTCTGTGATTAGGGCTCCCAGACTGGGTTTGTAAAAAAGTAGTTATCAAGATCATAGAGACCCAATTCTGATGGGAGAGTGATACAAGGCCGTTCCTCCAGCTGAATTTTCCCAGCGTACAACAGCACCAGAGATAGGGTTCCCAAGTCGAAAATACTCACTGACGGGGAAGCCTTGGCGGGTTCCGGAAGTTGTCCCCGGATGTGCGCGTGCGCCGCCAGCACGTCACACAAAGTGACGTGCAATGTCGACCACATTGAGGGCGTGGCCACGATCGTGGGAGGGAAAACCATAGAGTTTTCCCTCCCCGATCCGGGCCACACCCCCAACGTGGTCGACGTGCAAGTCACTTCCTGTGACGCTGCGCTTCGGGGGGCAGAGTTCCCCCCGGGGCCCGATTCCGCCACGGCAGAAATTGGGCCTCCAAAGCAGGGGTTTACCCGCCCCCTGTCCCCACTTGGCAGCCCTAACCAGAGAGCTGGTATTTGCCCCACAGGGGAAATTCATAGATATGTTTCCTTCTTGGGGCAAAGAGTGACTCCCTGTGGCTGTTTCAAGTCAAGAAAACGGCACAGAGCAGAAGGCTTTACCATTCTGTCCACCCCAATTCTTTTTTTAAAAAAACAATTTTATTAGGATATATTAATAGGTCAAACATACATCACATTACTAAGTATCATATATCCTTTCCTCCTATTTCCCCACCCCTTCTGACTTCCCACAGTGCTCCAACCTCCAGCCCATAACTTATATTCCCCTCTCTTCTTCCTTACTCGTTAGTCAAATTCTATAGGTAACATATCCTTTAACTAATATTCTTATACATTTGCACTTCTTCTAAAGTCAATCTCTTTTCAATAATTTTCAAAGCAAAGTAAATTGTTCTTTACATCCCAATATTTCTCCAAATATTCCTTAAAGTCTTTCCAATCTGCAAAGAATTCTTCTGCTTCCAGATTTTTAAGCTTTCTTGTCATTTTGTCCATTTCAGCCCATAAAAAGTAATTTTTTTTGTCCACTCCCCGATTTCGGGAGTTCTGTCCTGTTTCCAGCATCGAGCATATGTCATTCTAGCGGTTGTAATCATATACCACATCAAAGTCCGTTTCGCAATGTCCACCCCAATTCTGATGAGAACTGGGCCACCCATGCACTTGATATCTGCATTTTTTTAAACAAGCTGGGAGCTCCAGTCAATGGAACTCAGATGTCTCTGGGAAACTCACAAGCAGGGCCTGAAAGTAGTAGCCATCATAAGAACATAAGAACATAAGAACATAAGAGATGCCAGTGTTGGATCAGGCCAAAGGCCCATCCAGTCCAACACTCTGTATCACACAGTGGCCAAAAATACCAGGGGCCATCAGGAGGTCCACCAGTGGGGCCAGGACATTAGAAGCCCTCCCACTGTTGACCCCCCAAAGCACCAAGATGACAGAGCATCACTTGCCCCAGAGTCCCTATCTATA